AGGCATCTAGGCCAGATGCCATCACCACATCCTGTGGCAAGGAGTTCCACATCCCTTTAAAACAAAAAAAGGGGGGAGTAAATAAATATTGCCTATGATACGGTACCATATTCCTAGCCTGATCTCTGTTTGTCAAGGGCGCATTTAAATTTGGGTGTGACTGCAGTGCAGTTTACCACGAGGTTTGTAATGGAGTCGGCACGGTTAAACTTCAGATATTTACTGGCAACTGCGGAAGATAAAGCTATGCACAAGGAAGCCTGCTGTTTTCCCGCGGACATTTGTGTCTTTCTATTCTGCTGACAGGAGATGGTTTATTTTGCACCTATTCAGAGGTCATTATTCTGTGTGCGATTGCCTGTTTTAATCCATAGATGTGTCTCTCGATGGTAACCTTGATGCCTTTAGTAGGGCGTCGTAGTACAGCAGGATAATTTCCCTCAACTGAGTGCCTGTTATCTCCCCTCCTCGGAATAAGTTTTCTACTTCTTATGTTAAGCTTATCCAATTTAGCGCTATATCAGTTGAAGTGCTATGTCACTTGCAAAATACTAAAAAATAATTAAAAAGCGGACGAAGGGAGGGAAAAGGGTGGGAAGAAGAGGGTTGGGAAGGTTTTTCCAAAGAACGCATTAGGGCTTATTTTCAGGGGATATTTTATTTTTGCCATGTACAACCATCTACATTAATTCAAATGCAGTCCTGTCATCATCTTCTGGTTGCTGCACAAGGGTGGAGGGCGGGGGTTTCACTGAACTGGGGCTTATTTTTGGAGTAGGGCTTATATTACGAGCATCCTGAAAAATCATACTAGGGCTTATTTTCAGGTTAGGTCTTATTTTCGGGGAAACAGGGTAGCACTCCAGAGAACTGGGTTTGAATCCTTTCTCAGCCATGGGGAACTCACTTGGGGGCATGGATCTGTTAGAACCACTCCATAAATGCCCTATTCGGGTTGCTGTGGGGCAGTTCTGACTTGACGACCCATAACAATAACAGTGAAGGTACAGTCTGGGAATAAAGTAATGGTGAGTTAGCATCAATGTTGCTTTACGGATGTAACAAAAAAAAATATTTCATAGTTACTTTTAGAGGCATTTTGATGTATCCTTTTCAAGTTTCGTTACGTTCTCTTATCATTCCTTGTTGTGTGTTTTTTTTAATTAAAAGGAAGTAATTTTAAAAAGCATCAACAAATAACAGATTGAATTATATTTTAACATTAGAATGCATATTGAACCTGGCTCATTTTGCACGCCCACAGAGTAGCCGGGCAGCAGAACGAATTAGTTTTATCGGGTCAATCAGCAGGACATGGTGCTGTCGTATTTCGGACCCGAAGCTCGATAGCAGACGGCAGAACTGGTCTGAGACCAGTACTTGCGCATGGCGAGGGTCACTCCACTCTCAGTCTAAGATCCCTTTTTCTGATGGTCTCCGTGCGGTCTCCTTATTGCTGACTGTGGGAAGCTGGAGTGGCGCAGTCCGAGAGTCCATGTGTGGCTGTGGAGATGAGGAGCATCGCGCATGGCGGGATGGTAGCGTCCTTCTTGAGATGGGTCCTGCCAAGATCTGCCATTTCTGAGCTTTGCTTCCTGCTTTAGGATGCTTCTCTTCAGAGCAAGACTCCTGAGTTCTCATCTCTTTCCGTCTTTTCAAGATGATGTAAAACTGCACTGCCAGTAAGCCTTCCCACCCCCTTTCTCTGCATCTCTCCTTTCAAGAGGAGGAGCAAAGCAGATTTGAACAACTGAGTACAGTTTCCAGCTTGGGCAGTTTACTTCCTGTGCTGTGAGTTGGATAGATGTGCAGAGTGGAGAAGCTTTCTGCCCTGTTGTCCTTTTTTTGGCACCCAGTGCGAATTCCATCCATCCTTTTTGGTACATTTTTTTTAAAAAATTGATCTTCAGTTGTTTTTAATGCCCAAAACATCCCCTGCCAGCCTTAGGAACGGGAGATCCGGTCGGACTGATTGTTGGCCAGCTGGAGTCATTGTTGGATTATGTCTCGGATAGAATCGTTGACCAGATCAAGAACGGATCGTTCGAAGGAGATTTCCTTGAAGGTTTGTAAACCTTGAAGGGGTATCTGGGGAGGACTGGTGGATTTTTGTGTAGATTTCTTGAGCTGAAGACAGGTTGAAATTCACTGGTGGCCTTCTGACCACATTATTTTCGGGGATTGAAACAGCTACTGTCTTATGGCATGAGTTTTGTGAGGGGCAAGAAGGACCTATTTGTGAGGTTCACCCTATATTTCCCCTGGAGACAATTTCTAAAATAGTGGGGGGCTGTTTTTCATTTCATGTCTTCCTCGTGTTGGCAGCAGGCTGTCCTTTGTAACCTGTTTTAATTTTAGGTGCATGTACAGTAATGAGGAAGCTTTTTTGAATGCTCTGTGAGTGTAGTTTCTGTTCAAGGTTAAGAAGTTGCCCTTTATTTTTAAAACTCTTCTGGGAGTTGGGGGGGGGGGAAATCTCTTTAAAATTTCCCTTGGAAGTTTGCTTCTTTCGGTGGGTCAAAATAAATGTTGTTTTGGAACTGATGTTAAATGCAAAGAGGCCACAAAAATCAAATGCAGCTTGGAATCTTCCTCTTAATCTCATCTGTGCTTTTTAAAAAAACTTTGCTAAGAGACCCAACGATGCACGTATTTCTGCCCCCCCCCCCAAGTTTCAATTGCGAACCAGATCTTCCTATAAGATCCGGCTGCTTTCACCGACTCCCAAATAAATTTCCTTGCCTAGGATGGCAGCCAAGATACAGATATAATGATCAGCTTTTGTGACCGCCTCATGCATTTTGGCAACGTCTTATGGGATTGAAAGAAACCTATAATTTTTATTTGCATATTTTTTTTCCCAAAAACGCACCCTCCCTCCCACCTCCGGCTGGATCTCTTGCCTTGCCAGATGGCCCTTTATTTTGAGGTTTGCCCCAATCTCTGAACAATCGGGTTTTTGTAGATTCAGCATAAAAGGGTCTCCTTTAGCTGGAGTGCTTGCAACTGTAAAGGGGGTGTTGGAAGCAGATGTGCTGTGTCCCATGAATTTGAAATTTTCATACTGTATTTAGATGCATATAAGCATATTCCCCCCCAGTCTTAACTCTTTTTTTTTGCTTCCCACTTCCCTTCCCCTCTTTTTTTTTTTTTTTGCTTCCCACTTCCCTTCCCCTCCTTTTTTTATCTGTCTGTCTGTCTCTGTCTCTCTGGGATTTCCTTGTTCTCCCGGTGGCAGCAAAGCATCTTCACAAAGAGCAAACATCTGGGCCTCCCTTATTGTTATCTCTTGCAATGTGGGGTGTTCAGAATTTGGAAACATTAACTTTTTTTTTGAACTCCAGGTCTCAGCATCTATAGACGATGCTGGCTAGGGGAATGATGACTTTACAACACTTTTGCATTGTACACTGTTTCAAATATTGGGTAGGGGGTGACCCATCATACCTTTTGTTTAACACCTGTTTCTTTGTGTGTGGCAGTAAGGCAGCGCTTTCCTTTTTGAAAAGACCAGGAGTGCTGTTTAACCCACAGGCCAGCCCGGCTGGAAAGAGATTTATTGCCGGCTGGAGAGAAGACGGGGTTTCACAAAGGAGCCCTTCCACGTGGTACTGTATATGGGTCCTCTCTGTTCAGTGTTATCACTTGCACGAGGGATGGGGGGGTAGGGTAGCCCGTTGAGGTTGTAAAATCGGCATCTCTCTCCCCAGTTAGAAACTTTCAGATCCAACGAGGGAACAGTTTGTCTTAGAGTGGAAGAAGCCAGCTTCTGTTTACTTAGCTGCTGTTCATTTTCTTCCTTGGGTGTAAAATCCCCTTTCTGTTTTTTTTTTTTTCCTATTTTTCTATTCCCGCACGTCAAAACAAAATCTAATCAAAGGCTGCTCAAAGCGGATAGAGAGAAAGAAAAATCAAACCACCTTTTTTTCTGTCTTAAAACAGAGCTATGCACTAGGTTTTTTAAAAAAGGAAAATGTGTTTTTTAAAAAGGGCCCTGGGGGGGAACCTTGTGAAATGAAACAGCAGGAAAAGGGAGCAGCTTGTTCATAACAGCTTCCTCGCTGCCTTAACTCTTTCAGCTCTTCCCCAAAAGGGGCCTGGAGGCAAGGGAGTCCACTTAACTGTGTTTTCTAGCTACGCCTGTGGATTATTTTATTTTTCTCTTCTGTGCAGTGGAACAGCGACTCTGGTTATTTTTAAACCAAAATCTGAACAGCCGAGCCTAAAATAGCCCTTGAAACTTTCTTCTCAAAAGGCTTTCCTTTGAAGCGAATGCTAGACTGGGCAAGAAGTTAAGCAAACACATCTTAATATATTTAAATCTTAGTTGAAGACCATGTGTGTACTTAACAAAGGGCATGATTTAAAAACTAATAGAAATGAGCCCAAATATGATGACTAAAAACCCAGGTGCAGAAGGTGTTTTCTATCATTTATACAGCACTTTTGCATTGTACACGTTGCGCCTATCCTCATAAGAGTCTTGTGAAGTACACCACCCTATAAACTGAAGCTCGGCTTATAGTGAGTTATCCTTGCTCAAAACTGCACAAAACTCTTGGCAGGAATGGAAGGTGAACTTAAGAGGTGAGGAGTTGAGTATTAGGGGTGTAGTTGCTATTGAGAGTAGGTAAGTGTGATGTACTGAATAAAATGATGGAGTAGGACTCAGAAGACCTGGATTCAAATCCTTGCTTGTTAATGGCAACTCGTAGGTGGGGCCGGGGCGGGCGGGATGGAACTGACCCAACCCAGTCCTTAAATATCTCACATTCCTTGAAAACCCTGTTAAGAGTCACCAAAGGTCAGGTATGACCTGACGGCCCCTAACGCAACACGATTCGTGTAGAATTGCATGCGCCATCTTTCCAAGCGTCTCTAGTTGTCCAGAAGAACTGGTGGAACCGTAGCGTGGTTGACTTCTTCTGAACTTCAGCCAGAGTTTTCCATTACGGAGAGCAGAAAAGGGTATAGCAGTGCAGTCCCCATTCCAGATTCCAATTCCACGCCGTTTTTGCTGAAAGAAATTGAAGGGGACAGTACTTTTTATGTCGAAACGACGCTATTTTAGGACAGCGAGAATTGGCAGAGATGACTTGCTGACAGTCAGCTTTTTTTTGTTTCACTGTTTTTTGGGGGGAGGAAGAGAGAGAGGGAGAACCTAAGGGCCAAGCTTATTTTCTTCCTCTTTTTCCCCACCTCACCCGGAGCCCACTTCTGTTTTCAGTGGTTTCCTCACCATTTAATGTGAGAGGCACAAGTTTGCTTGTTTTAAGGCTAAGGTACTGCTGAGAACACTGAGGAGTCATCCAGGAAGAGGAGAGTGTCTAGATTCTATTACTTAGTAGGGAAGGCTATAATTCCCCCCAACACACATGCGCGCATGCACACACATGCACAGAGAGAGAGACTTCTCCTTGGTGAGTCTACTTCCTCCCTGGTGTCTTGTGATGCAGTAGGACATATGATGAAATCGGCTCTCCTAAGTTCCAGTATTGTTTTTCAAGGCTGGCTGGAGGTTCTGCCAGCTGGTGCAGTGAGCAGAGAAGGAGGGGAAGTGGACAACCGTGAGGTTTCTGCCAGGCTTGTGTGACTTTTGTTGTGTGTTTCTTGGAGGGGCCAGCCAAGACCCTCGGTGGCCAGCAGCCACAAGCAGCCAGCTCTACCAGTAAAACACCCTGCCCGTCCTCCAACAAAACATGGCAGCTGATCAGATAAAGGCCGATGTTCCAGCAACAAGACAGGGAAGGGGAATTCCCCTGGGTGTGTGTGTGAGTGTGTGTAAAAGTGGTTGTGTTTGGGGAAGTGGGGCATATCTGCAGCTCTGAGTCATCCGTAGGGGCCCTTTCTGTCCAGGTGGACTTGAAAAGTGGACAGGTCGAAGGTCCGCCGCTGAATGCGTGACACCGGATCCACAGAAAAAGCACGGCTTTTACAGGTTCGAAGGGGAAATTTTGGATGTTGTCTTCTGCAACAACTTTTTCACGCCAGAAAGGAGTCTACTGCCTTGATGCAACTCAGTACAAACTGACTCAAACGGCTTGGAAGAAACAACAACAACAACAACAACAACAACAACAACAACAACAACAACAACAACAACAACAACAACAACAACAACAACAACAACAACAACAACAACAACAACAACAGAGATTCGATTAATGCTGAGCTTGTGCAGAATTGCCTTTATCATACCATGTCCAAGGATGAATACAGGCTTCAGGAGGGGAAAAAACGGTTATGAATTTATATCNCACAACAACAACAACAACAACAACAACAACAGAGATTCAATTAGCGCTGAGCTTGTGCAGAATTTCCTTTATCATACCATGGCCCAAGGATGAATACAGGCTTCAGGGGAAAAAATGATTATGAATTCATATCTTGATCATCCCACCCAAGCGATTCCAGAACTTGGATTGCAAAAAAATAGCCACTGAGCCTGTCAGTATAAGGAGTGAACAACAACAACAACAACAACAGAGATTCAATTAGCGCTGAGCTTGTGCAGAATTTCCTTTATCATACCATGGCCCAAGGATGAATACAGGCTTCAGGGGAAAAAATGATTATGAATTCATATCTTGATCATCCCACCCAAGCGATTCCAGAACTTGGATTGCAAAAAAATAGCCACTGAGCCTGTCAGTATAAGGAGTGGTTACTTCAAGGACGTACATGGTTTAGAAGTCAAGAGTTGCAGAAGAGAGCGTGTCGGAGTGGTTACTCACAGGTGGGGGAAACGACCCTACTTACATATGGCCAGGGACACATTTTATGGGCTAGTGCAAGATCAAAAATTGTGCAGTCTCATCATGCATTACACCATCTTTGGGATCCCCTCCTCCCACCCCATGCTACGTTTCTTCTTTCCAGCGCTCACGTCATCTTTGGGATCCCCTCCTCCCACCCCATGTTACGTTTCTTCTTTTCAGCGCTCAACTAGAGAGCAAAAGAGAGAAAATTGAGGAGGGATGAAAGAGTTCTGTTACAATCTCCCACCCAGTTTAAATATAATGACAGTACAGAGAAAATTCTATCCCTTTTGTTAGCTGGAGA